TCAATGCCTTCCGATACTGTCACCCTAAAGATACAACAAATCAGTCAATCAATCATATAACGAATGCAGATTTTTTCTTAAAAATAATTTAGCTAAGCTCCCTAGGGAAGTGAAACTATAATCTGTCTGCCCTTTTCTTCATCAGTCTCTCAGTATCCGTCCCCATTGCTGCTGAAGTTGCTGGCCAATTTCAACAACCCTATCAGAGGACTACAGCCTCTGCAGAAATATTGTCATGAGTACAGTGCATTGAACAAAGGAGAGAAGCACAAATTAGTGCCTCATCTAATATATTTTGCTACCCAAATTCAATGATAATTTATTATTTTTTCCCTGATGATAAATCAGCATATATGCACTAACCAGATGAACAGCATAGCTGCATCCTGGAGGTCTTCTCGCTCAGCTGGTAACTAGAGAGCAGAGGATGCTGCAGAGAAGCATGAGGGCACAGTAGGGAACATGGATGAGCTGCAAGAAAGTGAGAGTATTTCCATTAAATGGTAGAGTACCTACTGCAATGAGAAGGACAACACATGAAGAATAAAGATTATATATGCATGTTTTCTAAATGTCATTGTTGACTACAGAATGATCTTTGATGGGATTCTGTACAAGTCTGTCTTCCAATATTCTAATTCAGCTTTTGCTAATCCCTTATGTACCATTTGATGGATGCTGCATTAACTGCTATCTGCAGGCACATGAAACATTTGTATAGCTTTTATTTCAACCTCTGTGGACTACACCCTTCATAAATTTTTCTTCTGTAATATTAGTTTCTCTCTAACCTATTTTCGTTTCTTCCTCACACGCCAGGCTTTGTTGTCTGTCTGGAAGTCACAATGCACAATTCTGAACTTGATAAGTACCCGGTGATTGTCTTCACTAGAACCAACTGTATTGAAACCTTGGCTGCTTTTTTTTTTTTTTTTATAAGGTAGTTTTAGGCTCATAAAGCCTTTTTTTCCTCTCTCTCTTTCTCAGTGAGGATAGAAAATAGAGTTGTGTGGAAAATAACCTGATAATCAAGGTTTCTCTCCTTAAAAAGTAAAAGGGTTGGTGTTTTTAATTTAGGATACTGTAACTAAAAGTATGTTAGGGAACAATAATCTTTAACTGTGAGAATTTTACTGGAAGGAAAAAGCATATCATTTTAGATGTAGAGTCTTCCTTATACCATTCTGCAGAGATTCTCTAGAGCAGGCCATGTTACTGAGGTTGGCTCACTGTGTTTGAGACTTCAATCTAAATAAATGAGGAAAAGAAATTAACTGCATCAAGATATATTACTAATGTTCTACACATAGACAAGAGAAATTGGTGAATCCCATCTGGCTAGTAGAAATAATCGTAACTAAGCTTTTTCTGAGTGAAGACAGTTTTACACCTCGTTTACAGGTAAATCATCTTAAGAGCACTCCTGAAACTGTCACAGAGATATTTAAAAAATTTAGTTCACATTAGATGTTTCTGTTGGTGAATGTTAGATTTTGTCTCCTTTCTAGGAATTCACTGTCAAGACAATTTGGCATGGAAGAGAATGAGCTGTTGGTCACTTGGATTGCAGTAAAACTTCAGCATCTCATTAAATACATTAGGCGGGCAGGGTGGAACATTTCCTTGGCAGCACTTTTGGAAATTCTGTCTCAACTGTGGTGATGAAGCCCAGGCTCTGCTTGTCATGGTATACAAAGAACAGAAGTTGAGTATTTGCTTTGTATTTAAGCATTTTGTCCTTTGTCTATTGTAATATAGAATTAAAGGCTGTATGATTTGTAAGAGACCTCTCCAGTGAACAACTGTTCAACATAAAAGATAAAGTCAGGAAATGGAAAAATTACACCCACAGATATTCAAACTGCGATGGACAGTAGATAACAGAGGCAGTCTTGAGGCTGCCCTGAGGAGCCCTGTACCCCTGAGGCCCCAGAGGAAGGTCAGGATCAAGGAGGAGTTTGCCTCAGTTGATAAGGACTGGGTTAAGGACCTGTTAAGCAATCTAGACACCCATAAATCCATGGATCCCAATGAGATGCACGTGCAGGTGCTGAGGGAGTTGGCAGAAGCCACTGCTAGGCCACTCTCCATCATCTTTGATAAGCTGTGGGGAATGAGAGAGGTGCCTTAGAACTGGTAGAAAACAAATATCACTCCAGTCTTCAGAAAGAAGGAGGACCCAGGTAATTGTAGACTGATCAGACTCACCTCCATCCCTGGAAAGGTGATGGAAAAACTTATCCTTGGTGTTGCCTCTAGACATTTCAAAGAGAAGAGGCTCATTAAGGGTAGTCAACATGGCTTCACCAAGGGGAAGTCATGCTTGACCAACCTGATAGCCTTCTATGAAGACATAATCAGGTGGATAGATGATCCAACCAGTGAATGTGGTCTATCTTGATTTTAGTAGAGCAGTAGGTGGACTGTGAACCAGCTGAAGGAAAGAAGCCAGAGAGTTGTGGTCAGTGGGACAGAGTGAGTCTAGTTGGAGGCCTGTGTCTAGTGGAGTCCCTCAAGGGTCGGTACTGGGACCAGTACTATTCAATATATTCATCAGTGACTTGGATGAGGGAATAGAGCACACTGTTAGCAGGCTTGCTGATGACACAGAACTGGGAGGAGTGGCTGACATGCCAGAAGGCTGAGCTTCCACCCAGCAAGACCTAGACAGGCTGGAGAGTTGGGCAGGGAGAAATTTAATGAAATATAACAAGAGCAAATGTAGCGACTTGTACCTGGGCAAGAACAAGCCCAGATACCAATAGGGGTTGGAGACTGACCTGTTGGAGAGCAGGACAGCAGAAAGGAACCTGGGGGTCCTGGTGGACAGTACAATGACCATGAGCTAGTACTGTACCCTTGTGGCCAAGAAAGCACAGGAGTATGATTCTATGAAATGTCCAACTTCATGAAAAAATCTTCTTAACTTCATAATCAGGAATCAGCATAAATTTACATGCAGAATTGCTATGATACTGTTGCAAGATCTTTCTACACTTTAAACACAACAAATGGAACTCCTTTTCTCACCCTTTTTGACATGAATATTTGCTTATTCATGTGTTGAACATCGCAGTGTACCTGATCCAGTTTTGTGTGCAAGTTGAAATAGGGACTGCTAGAAAGTGTGACGCAAATACTCTACCCACACGGCTTGGAATAAGGTCAACAAGTGCCTTAGCTGTTTCAGTGCTGCCAATTGTAAGTTTGAGGACTTGGCTGAAGCCGAAGTGCTGGGACTGTAGATAGTAGGGTCATTCAGGTAATGGCTGATGGCTCTTTATCTTCTGTTTTTCTTTCTTAAATACATCAGTTCAGTGTCTCTGTCCTGCTGCTGCTGGCACAACTTTCTACTTTTACTCAGGTGTCTTTCCTCTTAGGTTCTTCCATCATCATTTATGGAAAATGATTTGCCTTGTTTCATCTTGGATTTCAAGTATCCTCCCTTGGTTTTTCTTCCATGGTCTATTAGGACTTTCTGATAGAAGGGATGATGCTAGGTCAAAACACTGCTATAGATCAGATGCAGTAAACCTCATTAGAAGGTGGTGCTGACAAACTGATATGCTTATTGCTTGTCCTTACTTTCCTGTCAGAGCCTAAGGAGATGCCTCCTCTACTCTGCCCTGGTGAGACTGCATCTGGAGTGTTCAATTCTGGGCCCCTCCGTTCAAGGACAGGGCACTGCTTGAGAGAGTCCAGCGCAGAGCCACAAAGATGATGAAGGGACTGGAGCATCTCTCTTACAAGGAAAGGCAGAGGGAGCTGGGTCTCTTTAGCTTGGAGGAGACTGAGAGGTGGCCTCATTAACATTTATAAATATGCAAAGGGTGTGCATCAGGAGGATGGAACCAGGCTCTTCTCAGTGACATCCAGTGATAGGACAAGGGGTAATGGGTGCAAGCTGGAACACAGGAGGTTCCACAAAAATATGAGAAAAAACTTCTTCATGGTGATGGTAACAGAACACTGGAATGGGCTGCCCATAGAGGTTGTGGGGTCTTCTCTGGACACATTCAAAACCTGCCAGGATGAGTGCCTGTGTGACCTAATCTAGGTGTTCCTGCTAAGGCAGGGAGATAGAACTAGATGAGCTTTCAAGGTTCCTTCCAATCCCTGACATTCAGTGATTCTGTGACTCTGTAACTGGTATGAAGAGACAGCAACTATTAAAATGAAGACTTGTTAAAAAAAATACTCTTTTCACATCTTAGCCAGGATTTATTTTTTTTATAATTAATATTAATGGATTTTTTGTAATTAATAATACAATACTTTTTAGATCCTCTTCTTCTTTTTCTTTTTCTCTTCTCCTCTCCTTTTCTCCTTTCTCTTTTCTCTTTTATCTCCTCCCCTCTCTTCCCCCCTCCTCCTCCTTCCTCCCCTCCCCTACCCACCTCTCCCCTCCCCTCCCCATTCCTTCTTCCTTTCCTTCTTCCTTTCCTTCTTCCTTTCCTTCTTCCTTTCCTTTCCTTTCCTTTCCTTTCCTCTCCTCTCCTTTCCTCTCCTCTCCTTTCCTCTCCTTTCCTCTCCTTTCCTCTCCTTCCCTTTCCTTCCCTTTTCCCCTTCCCTTTCTTTTCCTCTTCTCTTTCCTTCCCTTTCCGTTCCCTTTCCCTCCCCTTCCCTTTCCCTTTCCTTTCTCCTTCTCCTCTCCTTTCCTTTCCATTTCTCTCTTCTCTTCTCTTCTCTTCTCTTCTCTTCTCTTCTCTTCTCTTCTCTTCTCCTTCTCTTCTCTTCTCTTCTCTTCTCTTCTCTTCTCTTCTCTTCTCCTCTTCTCTTCTCTTCTCCTCTTCTCTTCTCTCCTCTCCTCCTTCCCTTTGCCTTCCTTTGCCTTCCCTTTCCTTTTCTTTCCTTTGCCTTTCCTTTGCCTTCCCTTTCCTTTTTCCTTTCCTTTTTCCTTTCCCCCTCTCCTCTCCTTCTCCTCTCCCTTTCCTTTCCATTTTTCTCTTCTCTTCTCTTCTCTTCTCTTCTCTTCTCTTCTCCTCTCCTCTCCTCTCCTCTCCTCTCCTCTCTTCTCCTCTCCTCTCTTCTCCTCTCTTCTCTCTTCTCTCCTCTTCTACTGCCCCCACCGTTGAAGACAAAACTCCCTTATTTTTCTCCAGATCTCACTAGAAAAAGGAGAGTCTCAAGTTGTGACTGAGTAGTTTCACCTCAAACAGACTTTGAAAGGAAAAAAGAAAAGCTGCTTCCTCCCCGGATCCCTCTGGCAGAGGCAAGCTACAATTGTGACTGCAGCAACAGCAAAGGCAGGAGTGCCAGTACCTGTCTGTGGCCTTAGGCAGCCGGGAAAAGTTGTCAATCATGACCTCTGTGTGACAGCAGGTGAGGATGACCACTGCCTGGCACAGGAAGGGCATGAACGTGCTCTGCTTCATGGACGATGCGCAGCTGCGCAGAATGTAGAGGATCATCAGCACCTGAAACGAGGAGAGAAAGAACGACTTGCTGCATCCTTGATTCTGCAGGACGTAACCATGGACATTCAGCACATGAACAGTGCCTGCTCCCTTGACATGCTGCTAAGGCCTAAGCCCAAATTTAATGCTAGCCACCCTGTCCATGCCCTGGCTCTGCACTCAGGCTGTGCTTCTTTAGCACGAGAGGCAAAGGGCGCAAAGAATAGTGCAACAGCCAGAAAAAGTCCAAGACACGTGGAAGAAAGTCTCTTACGTCTCGACAGATGTCCTTCCTGTACATCTGTAGAAAGGTGGTCATCCACTTCCCAGCAGCACGCACGCGCATTCCTTTGGCTCGTCGGATGGTCTCCTTGATGGCCAACATAAAGTCAATGGTGCGTTCTAGGGGGAAGTTTCTGCACACGATCTGCATAGAAATGAGAAGCAGGAGAGATCCCATCATTGCTCTGCGGCAGCTCTTCAAAACATAAAGCAGTGTTGAGGGCATTCTTAGTTCAGCGGCTTGCTGGTCATTCAGGCAGCAATTGCAATGCTCCTGCTGTCCATACCCTTCTATTCAAATGTATGGTGGTTGAGCCTTCTCTCAGCTTCTCCATCCATGGTGTTTGCTTACATGAAAAGCCTACCTCCCAGCAGCCACACTCACACACACACACACACACAAACATACATCATAGAGTCAGCTCCTTGCACTGGGCACCTGAAGCCAGACATAGCTCAGCACCTCCTGCTACTTGCTGAGAAAAGTGGTCTCAGGGTGACAGCTCATTCTGGAAGTTGTGTGAGAGTCTGGGAGCAGCACAGGGTCATGCAGAAGCCTACGCACTGAGATCGTACCACTCCTTTTTGGGTCCACTTACCCTTGCGATTTTGGATGAGGTCCGGAGCTGGGAGATGGTGCTGCATTCAGTCAGCCCCTCACACAGGCTCCCGATGTCTCCTGTCTCGATGACTTCGTTGGTTGCTTTGGCTGGAAAGAGCACAGGGAAAAAAGGGAAATCATACTTCTGGAAATTGAACTGCTTTCCACAGGGAAGAGACAGAGAGCAGGGTGGGGACAAGAAGAGAGCTGCGCATGGTGCCTCTCCCTCCTGTGAACAGAGCCCAGACCATGGTAATGGTGCAGAGGAGAGCACAGGGCTGGTGCACCCCACTCTACTCACCTTGGATTCGGAGGAGGGAGCCCAGACAGGTGACAGCCAGCTGGCGGGATGTGGGCATCGGGTCACACGTAAGAGGTGCCAGCAATCCCACCAAGGAGCCAAAGTGCTCGCAGGCATCTCCTCTCTGCAGGGGTGAGAGGCAGGAACAAAGCTGTAGGTGGTCCCAGCTCTCCCTAGCTTCTCCTGCCTGTACCTTCCCCCACCATGACACAGCATGCACAGCTGAGCAGAGCTTGCCTTCCAGCTCAGGGGCACCAAGGGAGAGAGCAGGGGGCATGTGGTGGGGCTCTTTACTCACTTGAAGCTCTTCACAAGCAGCCAGCAGCTGGGAGCAGGTCTGCAGGGCCCTCTTGCGCTCCCACATGTCGTCTGATGTCAATGATTTCTGCAGGACCTGGGGCAGAGCAACTGTCTCAGTGAGGACATCTTTTCTTTCCTTTCCTGACACCCTCTCCCTGTTCCTTCTTTCCTGGCACTTTCCCTCAGGTCCTGCCCTGTGGTTTCATGCACCCCTGCAACCTCACTGAGCACTGGCCTGCTCTCTCTGCAGACTCTCCGGTCTCCTAACCTGGGAGCTTTTCCTCGGCTATGGCCTGCCAAGGGCTGGCTCCTGTCTTTACTTTTCTGCAGGGCCCATTTCTTTGCCCATTTACATCAGCAGGAGAGCTCTCCTCTGATCGTCCTCTCAGTCCCCAGATCTCTGCCTCCACTATCAGCAGGCACCATGCTTTCTCCCTTGCCCCACACATACTCACATGGACTATATTCTGGAAGAAGCCGCTGATGGGCTCTGTCTCCAGCAGGACTACCATGAGCCGGCCCAGAGATTTCAGTGATGTTTGCAGAAGCTGAAAGCAGAAGAAGAGATTGAGGTGTGGCATCATAGCTGCTGCCATAGCATAGATTTTGTGTGCTGAGATAGGTTTCCAACTGAGAGGTGGCTGGGAAAGTTACAGCAGGTTACCTGTAGGTACTGTGCTGCTTGCTGTGACTTCCTGATCTTCAGCATCATCTTGGCTGAAGGGTGCGTCACAATGTTTTTGCAGCACAGAGTCAACATTTCACTCATGTCCTTGCTTCCTCTAGAGGGCTTCAGCTTGCTGAAGGACAAAAAAGGAAGAGAAAGCAGAAAGAGCCTTTACCAGTGCTCTCCAGACTGGTTCAGTCAACATCTGAGTTTCTCCTAATCAACAACTGCAAGGCCAACACCCCCAACCACTGCTGCTGAGCACTGTCTTCAGTTCCAGCAGCGCCTGCCTCCTCCCCAGCAGCAGTGAACTACCTCCCAGGTCTCCCTTCTCTTCCCTGCTAGGGGACAGGAACACCAGGGCCTTTCTCCCCACTCAGAACATCAGCTTCACTGGGCACAACAGCCCAGCCATCTCTCCTGAAGATGTGGCTCCTTACCCCCTGCCCCCTCCAGGCCTTCGGGAGCTACCCAAAACGGGGACCACCATCCTGACTTGCAACCCCAGACCTTACCTCAACTGCTCCAGGGCCAGAACCACCTTCAGGGGCACTGGAGATACAGGGGTGCCCATGTAATACTTCTTCAGCAAGTCCTGCAAGTCCCAGAGAGATACTGTCAAAGTGAGCAAGGGGTATGCGAGAGCTCTTCTGCCCAGCCCCAAGACAGACACAACTGCCACACACTAGCTCCATCACTGCCACATTTCCCACTGAGGCACTGCAGGATGCAGCACCTCCATAGCTGGTGGACCTAGCCCGCTGCCCAGCCGCTGCCTGCTAGCACCCAAGGTCCCCACCAGCTGGAGATGTGTAGCTGGGGGAGACCTGTACGTCTCCAGGGAAGCGAGCCTCGTGTCACAGCCCAGAACTCCTCTGCAGACATCCCTGGCTTTAGGCACTCACCATCAGGATCTCCAGCAGCTTGCCCTTCAAGGAGGGATTAAAGAAGGCGGAGCCACCCACAGCATGGACCGCAGAGCTGAAGTCAGTGATGCTCTGCACCAGCGCAAGCTTGTTCTGCAAGTCCTGAGGCCCAAGAGAGAAGAACATTCATTGAACTGTGGGAAGGGCCAAGGGCTGCAAGGGGGACACGTGGGGGCAATGCTAAGGGAAGGGCTTGGATCTTCATCTGGGCACAGACCGTTCCCTGAGGGACCTTTGGAAAGAGAAGGCCCATCTCAGCATCCCCCCATGTGGAGGGGCTGAAGCTGGGCACTCTGACACCCAGGCAAACCCCAAGCACTCACCTGGCGGCTGCAGCTGTACAGCAGCAGGATGTTGCCCACGATGTCTCCCTCCAGGCGGGCAAGCAGCTGTTCCTTGGAGGCTCGCAGTGCCAAGCTGCCATGGGCGAGGATGAGAGCGCTGCGTGTGGCCTGAGCTCTCGTGCTGTTCAGCTCCACCTGTGAGGGGAGAAATGCCTTGAGACACTCGCTCAACAGCCCCCAGTGCCCCGCAATGTACCTGGGCTCCCAAGGCAGGAGCTGCTGTGAAAATAAGGTGAAAGAAAGACAAGATGGAAACCCGTAACACTTTACCTTCTTGTGCCTGGAAATCCTTCCATTCCGGCCTTTACACAGCCTGGACGCAAACATGGTAAGGGTGTCCAGGACTGTGTGGAAGTTGCTCTCAGCAGCATGGCTGAGAAGAGAGATCATTCCCTGCACAAAAGAACAAGGGGCAGTTGGAGCAGGCCTGAACCTACTGGCGCGGCCAGCCACAGTGGCTGGGCTGGTCCTCGCCTGATGGAAGCAGCATCGGGGAGGAGAACGAAAGGCCTGGGGCAGAGCCAGGAGAAGCCTTCTGCCCCAGGGACAGAGCGGGATGCTGGCAGAAGCTGGAGGAGAGGAGAGCTCACCTGGGCCTCAGATGGCTCCTCTGCATTTGCTTCCTCCAGGTGCTGCAGCAGCTTCTCTTGGATGTGGAGGACTTCTTTACAAACTCCCAGCACTGTGCCCAGAGCCTTGTATAGGAAAGACTGCACGGGAAGGGGAAGAAGAAGCTGAGATGTGGCAGCAGCCTGACCTGCTGGCAGAGGGCCAGGTGGGAAGGACC